CCTGCCCATTAGGAAGGGAGTGTTTCTTCTGTCTATTATTTTGTATTTTAGTCTGAAGTGACATTAAGTATAGCAAAATATTTGTGCACATTTTCGTGGTACTTCTTACTGGAAACATTAGGATCTTAAGCCCAGCTCTCAGCTGTGACTGCTCCATTCACTGTCAATGTATTAAGGAGACTTGCTGTGGTTGTTGTCAGTCTTTGCCAGGGAGAGAAGTTTAATTTCATCAGTTTTGCTTTTTCAGGGACAAGTTCTCCCTCTCCTCTTTGGAAAGAGCAACATATTATAGTGGAGGATATATAAGTTGAGAATTCTAGGAATGACTTTATGTAGTTCTAAGGAAAATGTACAGAATAATTAACAATGTGGAGCAAATGCTTTTAGGTTTAATTATGTATTTTTTAGTCTGAGAGTTTACTTAATTTTACCCTGTAAAGTTAGAGTGATTTTTTTTTTTTGTGTTAAAAGTACTACGCTGTTATTTGTATAACAGATTAGTTTGCCAAAAAAAGAGAGGAAAAACTACTAATAGCAAAAGGGATTACTCTTTATAAATATTACTGTTAAAGAATGTCATTTAATCCACTGCTCTAATAAATTATTTTAAAATGTATTTTATTGCCATAATTTATTAAACAATAAGGAGACATTTTGGCTGCAAATAGTGATAACATCTCTATAGAACTGTATTTGGATAGTAATTTTTTTCCCTGACACAGTAGATAATTAGAAATTATAAATTATGCTTACACTCTTAGGCATGTTAGCTGGAGAATATGTTGGACTGTGTGTTGTTCTTGGTGCCAGTTCAGGTCTTGATTTTCAAAAATTCTTGCACTGAAACACATGATGAGTTTCGTTTTCTAGCAGCAAAGTGGAAGTGTATTACCCACCTGAGAGATTTAGAGGAAAACCTTGCCACCAGTTCACATTTTTGAATAAAGTTTACATCATGTTTGTGAGAAAATCATTGTCAGCTGCTTTGCTGGCATCTTAACCATATTGCTAATGGTCAGATAATGTAATTTCAAATGTTTCCTGCAAAACCGGTGATGTTATTTTTTTAGCAGGGTCACTGGATAGCTAAAATAAATTGCTGCTGTTCATGGTTTTGTTCTTCCATAGGAAACTTGAAGTGTGATGACAGGGTAGCTTGGCAGTGTGGGTAAGATGTGGGGAGATGTGGGTAAACTCGTGTGCAATATGTGATAACTGGGCTATGATAATCTAGAGATCCTGGTCTGTCCTGGTCAGCAGTTTCATAAATGCTTGGATCTCTTCACTTACAATGCCTTACTAGCACGGGCAGGGTATTTTTCAACTTCTGTGTTCCAGGGACTTAGTGGAGGCTGGGTGCTAGCCCGTGCAGAAGTAAAGGACAACACTTCAGTTTGCTTAGGTGCTCTGTCACAACATCTTTGTCTTGTACTCTGAAAAATGTTAATAAGAACTGTTGGGTTTCTCTGTCTTCCTGCTGTACAGTAGTTTAATAAGGATGTAAGCAACCAACATGTGTCGTTTGGTAAGAGTCCACAGTCCTGCTTTGCTGAACTCCTGCTAACCCAGCTGCCTGGTTAAATGCCACTGGATTATATATTTGAGGTTATTACTGTTCAGATTATCCATGCTAATAGACACAGCTAATGTGCCGACATATCCCAGGAGTGTGTCTGTGCAGACAGGTGCAAGCGTGCTCTGCCCGCACTCTGCAGGCTGTGTGTGAGCCAGTTCCAGTCTGGAAGCCATCAGCACATTGTGTGGCACGGTGCCCAAGCTAAAACACCTTGTCTCTGAGATAAATGAGGCTTTACAGCTTCTGAGCTGAAGCTGGCTCATGTTTGGGTGGCTTCAAGAGTGCTGGCAGTGTGAGTTTGTAGTGATGTATCCGTCATTCCACGTTACCCTGGAAGGATTTGAGTAGAAATCCCCGTCCTTGCACTCTTGCATAGTTTTCTCTCAACGTGCACAGGTTTAAAGCCTCTCAGCTCCACTTAAATTAACTATAAAGATAAGAATTAAAAAATATATTGGCAGTAATTTCGTGGGGGCCAGTTCAAACCCGTGTGTGCTGTGGGTTTGATTCAAATCTCAGAGTGTCTCAGAGGAGCACTTGTGGTGTCATATGACAGCAGCTATTTCACATGACTATGAACCATTATTTCCTGGAAGTGTTTGATATGAGTCGTTATTTCCTGGAATTAAGTGTTTGGTTGCATGTTTTCCCAAGATAGGAAAATCCCCATCAACTGAGAAGGTGCATGCTTGGCTCTGCAGAATTTTGTGGGTTTGGGACTGCAGAATCCAGAGTGCAGATTTTCAAGAGCCCGTTGGCTGGCTCTCCTGTCCCATGGAAGGTTTCACCTCATCTGCTACTTTAAAGTAGAGGTAGAGAGTGTTGCACAATTGAGCAGTTGTGACCACAGGAATGTGTGATCATTTTGGCTGGCAACACAAAAAATATGGATGCAAGTGAATACTGTTATCAGATGTTGAAATGATACCAAATAATTTGATACCAAATATCATTTATTTGATAATAAATGATACCAAAGAAGTTCTGACTCTTCTTACTCACTAGTCAGGTTTGTGTTTTTGCTGCCAATTTTTGAGGCAGAGGAGAAGCAAACCTCAGAGAAGTAAAACTTCAGAATAGCTTCATAGAGTTTTCAACTTAATTTAAACCTTTCATTCTATTTTTGGCTTTTTACAGCTCTAATATGTGTTACTCATAATTAAATAACTATATATCATTAAAAACCTCACAGATGGCAAGTATTTACTGTGAAATTTGCTATTAGAGAGTAGACATTATATTGGGTCTGGCTGGCATGGAGTTCTGACATAGCTTGAGTGAATCTAACTATATTTTAAAACCTTGGAATTTCTGAGATGTGTATTTCTTTACCTATGTTCATTGTGAGTGATTTGAGTTTGTGATGACTTGTTTACCTTCAGATACTAAATAAGTATATCTCTGCAATGATTATTATGGTATAAACAGATTTATTTATATTTTGCTGTTTACCTATTTTAGAGCAATGACTACCATTATTTAAAGATTAGTATTTAATCCCACTGGTGTTAATTACAGACAGGGCAAATCTTTTCCCTGCATATCCTCAAAACCAGAGGAACGTTATGAAACCTATTTTCAATAATGTCCAAAATAATAACAAAATTGTTGCCTGATGCAAGTTAAAAGTAAGAAAATGTTTCTTGATGCAAGACCACTGGAACATTGTCAACACTTCTGACTAACCTTTCTCAGTAATTTTAATACAGAGTGCTATCAGAAGACTGTGGGGGAGCCAACGTAATCTTATTTGATTTGGAAGAACATATTTTATGTATATATACAATATACTGTTTCTGTTTCTTTGGCTTTAAAGTAACAGAATACCTGTTGTTTCTACCAGAGAATTTAGGTTAGGGCATCTGACATCTGTGAGGGTGGTGAGGTCCTGGCACAGGTTGCCCAGAGAAGCTGTGGCTGCCCCATCCCTGGAAGTGTTCAAGGCCAGCTTGGATGGGGCTCTAAGCAACCTGGTCTAGTGGAAGGTGCCCCTGATATTTTTTATGTTTAATACTGGTTATTTAAAATAATTCATACCTATAATTTAAATTAGACTGTTGGAGTCTTATGGCATTTTCTTTTAAACATCATTTAACTGTGATTAGAATGAAGAGGACAGAATAATGAATGAGACTGTTAGAGTGTATGAATAAAATGCAACTGTTTACCTAAAATTGATCCATGTCGCATAACTTGGGGTAAAATAAATGGGTTGTTTTTCTTTGACTCCATCAGAAATATTGTCCTATAAATATTTACATTAATACATTAGGAACTTTAAAATAAAAGTGAAATAGCTTTCTTGACATTTTTGCTGGCAAGCAAAGGACTGTGAGAATTCCAAACTTTTAGCTCACCTTGACTGTATGAAGTTCATGAGCCATATTCATACATTTATTAGCAGTTGGAGCCTAAAGTTAATTTATGATTCATTTATCCATGTTTATTTTTTAATGATTGATCTTATATAGTTCTGGAAAAAAGGCATAGGCCATAACATGTTCTGTTCTAAAAGCTATTTGATGCCTAAAGGTATTATATGCTTTTTCTTGGCTGATAAGTCATAGTCTGTCATTGAATACATTGCAGATGGTCAATATATTCCTTTTATTTATGAAATTAAAGGACAGATTATGGCCTTGCCAGCACAAGCACTTTAGAATATAAGATACTGCAAGATCTGTGCATGTTGTAAAAATTGCCCTTGTCATGTGTCCTCACAAATTATTTATGCTGTGCCCCTGATATTCCCTGTGTAATCCTTTATGTTTCTGAGTGCTGTAAGATTCTGTTTGCTTTATGAAGACTGAGGGGTCAAGATTGCAAAGGAAAAAATTTCTCATGAGCAAATAGATCAAGAAACTTATTTTCTAGATGTTCTATTTTACTTCTAGAAATATATTTTTGTGGTGACACCATGAAAAATAATAAATCCATAGGAAAACATTTAAATAAATATGAGGAAGATGTTCAGATATTTCTTCACTGAGGTTTCTAGGGTACAAAATTAACAGGATATTATAAACATATATCTGTTTTATTTGTTTTCATGATTTGTATAAATCACAAAAGATTTCTATAAGATGCTCTAGAATTTGGGAAAGTGAATTTAAAAAAATAAATATCAAAGATGTTTAAAAGCAAGAAGTTTCACAGAAATATTCTTAGATATATTGTAGTAAAATAGACTGAGGTAAATGTTTTATGAAGTGAATAATGGAAAATCTATAAAGAAAACTTCTTCGGCTAATTTGTTTATTTCATGATTTTGTTAGACTTGACAAGGTTTGCTATTTAGAGTGTTCAGAAGGTAGTTGATTGTTCTCCTAGAGACTGAAAGAAACATCTCACATGGTGAGATACAGTAGTGTATGTTCTGCTTTAATGAGAATGTAACAATTTTAATTTTATTCTATTTTATCAGACAGGAAGCTTTGCTTGCTGCAATTAGTGAAAAAGATGCAAATATTGCCTTGCTTGAGCTGTCTGCTTCAAAGAAAAAGAAGACTCAAGATGAAGTAATGGCTCTTAAACGAGAGAAGGACAGATTAGTACATCAGTTAAAACAGCAGGTGGGCAGACATTAATTTTCATACTTTCATGGCAACAGAAAATTGGCATTATTTTCATTTGTACCATTTTATTCTGACCTCATGTTGGAAGTGTTCAAGCCAGGTCTGACATGTGACAACAGTTACAAAAGGTAGGAAGCGTTCAATGTAAGTGTTTATTGCTTTTCTGTAGTTGTTAGGTATTTAGCTGCATGTTTGCTTGGCTCGTATTATATGCAGTCAATGCATTTTCTCTTTTCCCTCATATTGTTTCCAGCCTTCTTAATTGTGTGAGAGAGGAGAGCAGATGCTCTTTGCATAAAGCAAGATCTGTCTGTTCTGTTGACTCTTTTTAACCTCCTTCTGTTCAGTTATTTGCTTATCTGTTGTCAAATAATTGTGTTTCCAGAAGGTTTCTGAGGGGTTATCTGGAAGTCATGATTATCCTTAAAATAAATTCTCAAATGACTAAAAGTCACCCCGTCTTCAACACCATAAGTTATTTGAGGTTTGAATAAAAAACACATAGTTAAAAAAACTCTAGAAATAGGTATCATGGCAAACAAATTTATGTTCTGCTTTATTAATGAGGAAAATAACCATACTAGACACAGTACACTTGTGCCAAACACAGTGCATAGGTTTCTTCTCTGCCTAGTTAAAATGTTTAAAACTGTGCATAGTGTGCAGTGGCTACTCCTCCTGATTTTTAGGAGATCTGTGGTCATAGACAGAAGAGGTACTGTAGGCAAGGGGGCAAAGGCTGTTCAGACAACCTGGATACTGAAGATCTGTGTGTATCATGTATGTTGTCAGTCACCTTTCCTCTTTCAGAACAGGTGAAAAAGATGAGAAAGTTGTTTTTTTTCAGACCATGTCTGCAGGTGTTGTATGTAATGTTTTCCATTGTGGGACATTACAGAACTCTGTGATTGTTGCTTGAGGAGGAGGAGAATACAGTCAGCAAAATCATTGAGGTCTCCTTAGCCTGTCACAGTAACCACCCTGCTGTCAGGCATTGTGCCACCCTACAACTGAGCATGCTGTGTTAATGATGTTTGGGACATATTGCACAGTCAATGTTATGATTCTTTATCCTCAATCCTGCATCACATGCTGTAGAACTCCATGCACTCAGTGGCAGAAAGCTAAGGAAAACCCCTGCTGCTGTGCTAAATTCCCAGTAGCTCTGATCTCGTGTGTCTAATTATTACAACTTTTTCCCACAGGTTTAAAAAAATAGGAAACAGCCCCTGAGCATCAGTTTCTCATCCAATCCTGATGCTGACTTCAGCTCAGATATTCCAGCTAGGTACCTGTGTTCCAGCCACGATGCAGTCATGTCTCAGGTCAGACAGCTGACCAGGAGACATTTCACCCAAAATTTATATGCTAAGTAGGCAGATGTGCTTCATGCTTTTTAACACTTCATCCACTTGTGCTGCACCAGAGCAGGTGAGGTTAAGTTCCAAATAATTTTAGGGATTTTTGATTTGGTTTGCTTTGGAAAAAAGAAGACAGTTACTTTCTTTTTT